ATTTTAAGTAGTGTATGAAGTTCTTAGCCAAGTTCTTGTCAACATATTCTTTTAGTATAGCCAACTCATTTTGTAATAAGTTGTAGATTGGTCCAAATAGTAGTTGAGCTCCTTTTTATAGATCAATTGTACAATTATAAAGTTGATGCTTTCAAAGAATATCTATTCTTTTCTTTTAAAAAATATCCTAAAAATCTTGATATTAGCTAAGAATACCACTTGATATCTTTCTACCACTAGAAATAGATATGGCATACATAGCAAAAAATGGTCTTTCTTTTGTTGCATACATGAATTTTCTTGTACCTGCTAATAAGGATTTGGATATACTAAGTTAATCTATTTCTATTTCACTATCAAAATTTTGGATTAAACTATAAGAAAAATTAAGATTACAAAAAATCTAATCTATCTAAGGATTATATTTTTTTAATAAAAATAATCCTAAAATAACTAGATTGAAGAGAGATCTTATGATATTAAATATTATTATACTATTATGATCTTTAATTGCTACATCTAAAGGAATAGTTTTATGAATAATATCTCTAAAAGACAATAAATGATTATCTATAATTTCTACATGTATAAATTTAGTTTTCTTGATTAAAAATATTTTTTATTTTTTAATAAATTCTTCATCTATAAAACAAGCTGAGGCTCTTGAATCTAATAATGCAAAGACTTTCTGATTTTTAGGTCCTAAACATACATCTATTGTAAAATTAGATGAGGGATTTGAGGAGAGAACAAGACCTTTCCTAGGTATTGCACATGATTTTAGTTACGTGGTCTTTGTTAAAATTGGAGAAACTCGTTCTTTGACACATTATCTTCTTTGAAAATTATGCTCTTTATTTTGAGATTGCATTGCTTCTTTGGACAATATCAAGCAGTATACTTAGCTTTTTTATAATATAAGTACAAATCGTCTTAACAATGTCAAAATATTTCTTGTTCCTTGAAGAATTTAAAACATATTTTATTAATTTACATTGATTTTGGCCTTAACGAATAAGTTTTTGTAAACTTGAAAACTATCAGTATTACTTGACTTGTTTCTCTTCAACCTCTCTCTTGCTCTACTTCTGCATCAATTGACTCACTTCTAAAACAAGACAAGAATAAAAACTTAGTATTCTTATCAAACTATCAACTGAACTATTTATGAAACTATTTATGAAACTAAAGGATATGAACTTTAAAAAATTAAAATATCAATACACTCTTGTGATACTCAAAAATACTAGAAAATCACTCAATTTAGTATAATATTAAACTAGAATGGCTATTGCCAAAAACAAGAAAACTAGAAAGTCTTGAAATAAGAATGAAGACTAAAAAGGTGTTAACAAGAGTGAAGAAGGCTTCATTCTTGCATCTATATATACTTTTAACTAAGAGCTATGTAGCAATATCCTATAGGAGCTCCAAAACGTATTGACTTTGCAAGACATGTATCTTAATTTACAAGGCAAGTTTTCTATGTATACGCCATATACTTAATTTGTTCTACAAGCTATCAATATGTTGTTGATTTATTGACTAAGTTTCTATCCTATCAATCAACTACAAATACATGTAAAGTCAAAGTAATATCTATGAAGCTTCTCAAAAGCTTTTCTAAAAAATATTATGAAATAAATTTATTTTTACTTACTTTTGCTTAATCATATAGATAAATATTATAATAAATATATATGTCCATGACATAGATTCAAGATGGCACTACAATAGGTTGGAATATCTTCTATATTAGTACTAATATGATATTAGTGAATGTACATAGAAGCCATTTAGGAATACTCTAATATATTAAAGAAGATCAAAGTTTTTTTTATTGATAACACTTATCAAAACCAAAATAAAGGATTATAAAAATCTTTATTGTAGAAAAATGAGATTTGATAAATTTTTTATTTTGTCTTTCATCTTTAATTGTTGTTTCTTTATAATTATGACATCAAGGAATTAAAGAATCAATAATCAATAAATTCAATCAAGAGTTACTTTTTGCTAAATTATTAAATGAGATGTTATAATTATTGTAGCCTTCAAGACAACATAATAGAAATGAAGATTCTTAAGAACAACATATTATGCCTTGAGTAAATAATAAAATATAATACATTTCATATCATGACCTTAAAAGAGACTTTCAATGTTTGATAATATTATTAAAGATGAAAACCACTCCCAATGATGTTTCAAATATTTTGTTTGAAAAAAGTTACAAAATCTTCAACAATGATCAAATATCAAAGTGATCTTCTTATTCTAATATAAGATATTATTGATGGCTGAAAGGAACTATCAACTATGTTTAAAAAAAACAAAGATAAGAGTATGTACCAAATATTATTTATGTCATCTTAAACTTCTTCAATAGGTGATTATTGCTCCTTTTGGAATTTGTTCCTATAAGCAAGGAAGGAGGGGAGGAAGGAGAGAAGAAAGAAAGTTATATTTTAGACATACATGTTTACTTAAATTAAAAGAATTAGATAAAAATAAGTAGAAGTATATAGATTTAATAATATCTTGTGGAAAGTTTCTTAGAAGCTCTATATATACAATTTGACTTTATATGTGTTTATAGGTCATTTATAGGTTGAAAACTTGGCCAAAAAGTTGGTAATATGTTGCACATATTGGCCACTTGTAATAAAAGTTTGTCATGTGGCAAACTTGTAAAACTTGTCTTGTTAGTTAGACATATGTCTTATAAATTGGACATATGTTCGAAGTCCTATAGAATGTTATCACATAACTCCTATTTTAATAGTATATATAGAAGCATGATTGAAGCCTTTTCACTTTTATCAATGTCTTTCTAGTCTTTAGTCTTTTTGAAAAAGTCTCTAATCTTCTTGTCTTTAGCAATAGTCATTATAGTTTTAATATTATATTAATTTTGAATGAATATCTACTCTTTTTGAATGATAAAAGAATACATTAAAGTTTTATTATTTGTAATTTATATTCTTGATATGCAATCACCATTCTTTGAAGAACTTGTCTTTAGAAGAAACAATAATATTACAGATTTATGTATCTATTTTAATAATTATATAAATAATATTAATATTTAGAAGTAAATAAAAATAAATAAGTTTAATAATATCTTATAAAAAAGTTTTTTAAAAGCCTTATAGATGGAATATACATAGGTTTAAAACTTGGCCAACAAGTTAGCTACGTTGTTATAGTAGAGAGAATTTTGCCTCAAAAAAACACTAGGCCTCTAATTGCCACTAATTTCTCAAACAAGTTGCAAATTTATAAAAGACAAATCTTATTTATAATTTTTTCTCATGAAGAAAGTTGCATTAAATATATAAGTTTTGGATGCACAAGAGTCCCTTGGATGTGATTAAATATCCTAAAATCACTTCTACTCTTATAAAAATTCTTTCTAAATCTGTATCACCAAATAACATCAAATCTAATCATCTAGTGGGCTTAATCTTCTTTACATGGAATGGCTTAGAAGTCAAAATACTATATCCTTAATACCAAGGTTCTTATAAATTCTTTATCAATAAACCCTATAACTTCTATCTTTAATTACAAAACTTAAATTATAAACTTAAATAAATAAAATAAATATTATATTTTATATTTATATTTATATTTATTTTTTAAATTACAATCCAAACTTTCATAATATTTTATATTATTTTTACATATTATGCTACTTTCCCACATAACATCCATCTTTTCTAAACTTATACATCCTCCAACATATGCTAATCTAATCATTTCCATCTTCTTCATCATCTCCATTTCTTTCTATATCTTCTATTTGCTCTAGATCTTATGTTTGAAAATCTAAAAGATTACTTAAAATAAATTTGCTATCTCTTCTCTTATATGCCTTGATTTGCTATCTAACCATAGCTATTTTCAACATCGTACTATCTAACTCACAAAGCAAATAGGTGTCATTGTCATATATTGCCACTACTATATATGGTCCAAACTATCTTTGAGCAAACTTTCTAAGAGTGCTATATTGGTGCTCCAAACTACTATCAAATATTAATACCCAATCTCCAACTTCAATTGATTTGGATCTCAAATAATGAGTTTTGTCAAACCTCTCTTTGTTGCTGAATCTAACAACCTTCTGTTTTTCTAATACAATTTCTAGACCTTCAAGTAATCTTTCCAGTTCTTGAATCCAAAGCTCTCATAATCTCTCTTTCGTGATGCCATCCTTCAAATCCAACAGCACTGAAGTAGGCACAAAATCCTCGATAGGCATAGTTGCCTTTTAACCCAATATCAGCTCAATAGGCATATAATGAGTAATATTATGAAAAAACATAAGAACTAATTTTCTCATCTATAAGCTGATTTAGAACAAGCAATTGATGCATCAAATTCTAATCTTGCCAAAAGAATCTTTGATCTAATACATGTCCACACTTGTGGATGATTTTTTAAAAGTTCAAGAAATAGAAATATTTTTTAGATTTGAATTTGGTAGATAAATTCTATATGCCTTTTTATATATAAAAGTTATTAATATTAGAAAATGATGTCTTATTATATTATTTCAATAGTAATAAATTAATAAGAAAAATATAAAAATATTTAAGAAAATTTCTATTAAGTTATCCTTTATACGAAGGTAATAATATTCTATTAATAAAACTTTCTTGAACTTACTTCAATGATTGATTTCATTTTATTTTATTTTATTTTCTTAAAATTAAATTCAAGATATATAAGTAACCAATTGCAACCATAAGTGAAAAACTTACTTAAAATGATCAGTTTCACATTTACCTCTAAAGCTACCAATTCTCGTATAAACACAACACTACATCCCAAATTTATACAACATTCATCCCCGATTTCGCCACAAATTATCATCCAAACTGTTCCGTTCAGAACTGCGTGGTGTATGTCGACCCAAGAGCGGCGTTGTGGGCGATGTTCGGTGATAGGTGCCCATACTGATCGGATGGTATGAACTAACTAGGCGACAGTTCTGAGTGGAATTGGAGATGAAACGTCCGTCGACAAAACCCTTGAACTACCCTCCGCAGCAACGGACGCAGCAGCTACTGAAATCAGTCGCTGATTTCTGTGAAGTTTGTCAATGTGGTGCGATTTGAGATGCGCCGGGTGTGTGAAGGGATTTCGGGCTTGGGTTTTGGTGGGGAAGGCGTGTATGTCTCAGAATTTGGAGCTAGCTGATATGAGTTCTATTTGAGGGAGTGCGGGAGGGATTGTTGTTTTTGGAGGTGGAGTGCGATGGATCTGTCGGAGAAGGAGAGGGTTGAGAAAGCCGCGTTGCGCAAGCGGAGGCAGCAGGGCGTGGCAGCTGGGACGTCCAGGTTTGCGGAGCTGGAGCAGGCGGTGCAAGAGATTCGGCTTAATACTCTACTAGTGTGTTGGCCGCTCTTGTCCCTCCTCTTTCTTAGATAGGTCTGATGCATTGCGTTTTTTTTTTTTTTTTTTTTTTTTTTTTTTCTTCTTTCCCCCCCTTCGTCTCGGAATGCAATTTTTATGAAGTTTTGGTACCAACGCTGGCGTGTCTTTATCTTTACAGGTGCTGAAGACTCCCTATTATCGAAATTGCAAAGCTGCACGGAACATACGGAGAGGTGTGTGGTCGCTTCTGTATTGTGTCCCCTCTGCATTGCGTCTTTCGTAATGTAGGGTAAGATTATTTTATGAGTTTCGTCTGGGTTTGGTGTGAATTCGTGATGGCTTTTTGATCACTTGTAATTGCAGTAGGCATGCGAGTAATACGAGAATTGTGCAAGCAAATGCGATCGGAGACTGTTACGATTGGGAAAGAGCGGAAAGAGAAAGGGGATGGTAGTGCAGCGAAGCGCAGAAAGATTGGGGGAGCAGCGGAACCAGCTGGGAATCCTAGCGTAGTTAGTGGATCTGCAAGCGCTGATCCAGTGGTTGGAGGATCTCCTGCGGGCGTGAATTTCGTTCTATTGTCACAGAACAATGCGCCCGTTATAACAGAGCTGAGTGATTCCCCTTAAAATTCCAAAATGCGTTGTGGGAGAAAGGTTCATCACGCCAATGGAGGTGGGACGCAGGTTAAGCATCTCTTCATGTGAGGATGCTATCTTTAAGGAGACTTCAAACCCTAAACCATCAGCTTTAGCTCCTCATGAACTTTATGAACGTGCGGGTTCTGTCGGGGCAAGTTGATCATTTTCGGTGATGCTTTATGTTCGGAGCATTAAAGGGGCACAGTGTTGGGAGGACTTCTCGATAACTGGTGGTTCAAATATAGAAGATTTGGTTTCTTAGAATTTTTTATTTGAACTTGTACGACAAACTAATTGTGAGTATTTTTCTGGTTGTAAGGTAATATTCTACAATGAAACATGGCTCCTAACGAGGTCATTGCCATTCTTGCGAAAGAACATGTCATGATAGATCTACTGCTTCTCTTGTCCTCTTTTGTCACGATATTGTGTGAATATTATAGAAGCTTTGCATGAACATAAGCTGCAGTCCTGTAATGGTATTTGTGTTTCCTTCAGTTCTTAGATGCGTTATGGTTCACAGCGAGTCTTGGATACGAAATGTACGCATGGTTTCGTTCAGTCACATGCGGTGACAGTTGAACTTAGCTGCATCTGGGGCAGGAGAAGCGCATGTAGTGTTCGGCTTTCGTATATCCCTGGTGGTACTAGTTTTTTAGTTTTGATGCACCAAGCACATGTTGCTGACTGGCTTGCTTTGGACACATTGTCAGCTTTCACCCATTTACGTTCAGGTGGTAATATTAGCGTTAGCATCGTTGACTATGGGATGGAAGTACACGATTAAGTTGGGGCTCGTGGAGTAGGATTAACATTAGCATCCATGCAAGCATCGAAGTGACAGAGGTGGGTTCTAAATATTTCGGAGATTCAGAAGATACCTGATGGAGCACTTCTTTGACCAAATGTCTTCGAGATGATGTGCTACTATGTGCAGGCACACAGACTTAGTCTTTTGGAGGGATGATATTGAGGTGCGCCTTGTGCCTTGGAGCAGCCTCAGTAGTGGTTGTAGTCGTAGCAATTATTACTATTGTTGTTGTTGTTGTGATGATGATGGTATTCTTCTCTGGTATCTCAATCACGCAGTAAGGTGTTTTCGGGTCCGTATCGTATGGCCGCTCTTGTTATTAATGACTAACATTTTTGAAGTGAAAACTATGAGGTATGCTGGTTCCTCTTGCTCATGCAAGCTATCTACTCGGTGGTCTTATTAAACGCTCTTACCACGGTGGTACTTGCCGGTTTGTGATCCTACGATCGTGTTGTGCTGAGACAGTTCATGTTGTTGGTTTGAACTGCGCCAACTGGTCCAATATTCACATCTGCTAAGTTAAGCCCTGGTTTTGTCTGAGCTGGTGTTGGCGTTATCTAAACTGTTCCAAAAAACCTTCAATTGATCCATAGAATGCGATGCCATGTTATTTCAGATCCATTCCTCTCTTTCCAACCACCCACTTTTAGATCTAGAATGTCTGCATCAAGACTTGTCGCATTATTTTGATTCGAATTGTCGATATATCTGTTATTTTAACATTAATTGTTTAAAAGACACTCAAAATCAGACATGTTTGTATATTTGCATGATATTTTTATAAAAATTACACGTTGGAGTACTGTAGTGCAAATAACTTCAAACTTGATGTATTACATACACAAATAAATATGATCACTATTTGTATTAGGTGGAGTTAAGTAAATTTCATAGACTTTATAATCTCGTAATATTTTATGTTTTGGCATATTTACTCTAATTAAAAAAATAGTATATTTATATTCATGATTTTAAGTGTTTTCGATTTTTTTAAAAAATGTGTATATTTCTAATGATTTGTTCCTATAAAAATGTGTACGTGCTCTTATTTATTTTTAATTTGACAAATTTATGTTGCAATTGAAATAATATATAAACATAATTTGCTTGAAGGTTCACTCTTGTAAAAAGAAACAAAGTTATTGAATTAATTGATTTGAATAATAAATAAATTATAATGTTTTTAGACAAAAAAAAGTAAGATATAAGAATCTATGAGAAAAAAATAAATGAGTGAATATATCATGTAAGGATGTACAAAATAACAAAGATTTAAAAATAATAATAAAAAAAATTATTTAAGATAATTCTTAAGATATTATGAATTATCACAAAAATGTGAATATTATCATATGTAACTTATATATATATATATATATATATATATATATATATATATATATATATAATTATCATATGTAACTTATATATATATATATATATATATATATATATATATATTATGAAAATCCTATTTAATAAGCTAAATAAAATAATTATACATTCTATTATTTTTTGATTCTCTTATTTGTATTTTTAAAAAATTATTAATCTATATTTATGCATTTTTTTCCTTCTTTGAAATTAAAGTAATAATCAGTTTATATAAAATTTAAAAATTAAATGCTATTAATTTTTATCTATTTTTGTAACATAATTCATGATACAATTTATTACTTTTCAAATATGAACATTGAGTGTATCAAATATGATGTGATATAAAAGCGGTCTCAATGTAAATAAGAAAATTCCATAAAGAAAGTTGTTTTATCTAATATGATGTTGCAATGTGAAGAAGATCCAGTAACACTAATAGAGACTTTGCAAAGAATTTTGTCCATTTAACATAAAACTACAATGTGAATAAATTTGAAGTTTGAATAGGATTGAAATGTGAATAAGACCCAATGACACTGATGGAGTACCTTATAGAAAATTGTGTCTAGCTTATGGTTTATATCTTTAGAAGTGTGATAATTGATATTAAATGATACTAAAAACTTCAGCCAATCAGTGATTTTTGTGGACAAACACTATTGAAGAAGTCTAAGATGCAACAAATTATATTTTCCACATATGCTAATCTTTGTTTTGTTTTATAGGTAGTTGATATGTCCTCTTAGCTATCATTATTTAATCATTGTTAAGGCCTTCATAACCTCTTTTAAATAAAAAATTTGGAACACCATCATGAGTGGTTCATACCTTCAATAATATTACCAAACATCAAGAGTCTCTTTTAAGGCCGTGATGTGAAATGAATTGTATCTTGCCATCTATTCAAGGAATAACATGTTGATTTTGAGGATCTTCATCTCTGTTATATTGTCTTGAAGATTGTAACAATCTTAATGCCTTGTTAGATATCTCAACAAATGATAGCTTTAGAGTTGAATCTCTTGGTTATTGATTCTCTATCTTTTTAGTGCCACAAATAGAGAGGAACTATAAACAATGATAGAAGATAGAATGTAATTTTTATAGAATCTACTTTGTTTTGTAGTAAATTTTTTCTTAACTCTTCATCTTGATTATGATAGTTATTATTGATGAAAATCTATTGACTTTTGTTGTTTTTGTAAGAATCTTAGAAAGCTTTTATGTGCATTCATGAATATTATATCCGTGTTAGTATACAAGACATTCAAACCTATTTTGGTGATGCCTTGAATCTAAGACCTCTTTGACTTCAAATTCTAATTGTTATCTACTTCTATAAGAGGAGGTAGCATCTATCTTCTTCTAGATATATTTACAATCTTGTATGGCTAAAAAAAAAGACTCATGAAATATATAATAGATTTTCATAGATTCCAATAGATATAATTGAAATTCTACAAGATTGATCTATTCACTAATAAAAAATGGTCTTGGTCTACAATAATTTATCTTTAAAAAATAATGACTAGTCTTGATATTATTATTAATCTTAAAATTATATTTACTACTTAATTTAATCTAAAAATAAAATAAAGATTTTATATTCTTTGAGAGATATATTTTTAAAAATATTTGGAAATAAAATATTATAAAAATAAAATAAAAAGACTTAGTAAAAAAAATTTAAAAAAATAAGAAGAAGAAGAATAAACAATAGTATAAAAAAGAGTCAAAACAAGAAGAGAAGGCTTGGTATAAAAGAAGTTAAAAGAAAAAGAAGAAGAAGAAGAAGAAGAAGAAGAAGAAGAGTTAATGTAAAAAAGATTAAAAGGAAAAAATTAAGAAACTAATATGGATAGATAAAGTGATTAGCCACTTATGTATTATAAAAGACAAGATAGCTAAACCACCTTAAGTAGTTGAGGTGGTTAGAAATAAAGTAGTTTTACTAAGTTAAACTTATATCAAAGAAAATTTACTATATAAAAGCTATAAATACTTAAAAATTCATATTATAAATATCATAAGAAAAAATATAATTAAAAAAATTAAAATTGATATTTTATTACTTTATTTCTTTCTATTTTATTAATATATAAATAAATCTTAAGTTTTAAGGCCTAAAAAGATTCAAGAAAGAATTCATGAAGACCTTTAGGATTTTCAACTCAAAGTTGAAGGAGCTTCAAAGCCAAGACTATAAAGTTATATAACAAGTGATGGTAGCACACAAGATTCATTACATGTAGGCTAAAATTTACTTCAACATAAAAGTCATCAATAGACTACATTAACTTTGATGAAGACTTACATGGCAACAATAAGATACAGTAAGACATGTAGAAACATAAAGAAGAGATTGAAGAATAAAAATGACTAAGATAGATTTAGAGTCTTATGCTTAAATGAAAGTGTTTGATTTTGACAAAGTTTTCAACCTTAATAGAGTCTTTAACCTTGACAAAAACATTGACTTTGAACTCAACTTTGATATTAATATGGACATTGACTTTAATTTAAAGATCTTATATCAAAGTCAAAAACTATTGAAAGATAAAGAATGATCTTTTTCAAGAGCTATTGTATATAGAAATAGCTCCTATAAGAAAGCATCAAAAGAATATTTTATAATTCTTAGGATATAAAAATCTAAATATTCAATTATTAAAAAATAACAATGAATTATTATTAATTTAAAATTAACATTATTTTTTATAATCAACATCTAAGTTGGTCTTTTACCTTTCTTAAGTTTTTTTTTTTTTTTTTTTTTTTTTTTTTTTTTTTTTTTTTTTAATTGTATCTTTATTATTGCATATAATCTCAATAAATAATTTTTTAAATCTTCCATTATACGATTATTAACTTTTAAAAATTTAAAATTATCAAATTATGGATGATAATCATAATTAATTTAAAACTATAATCATTTAATAAAAATATATATTATATTATTATAAATAAACTCTTCTAATGACAAAAGAATTGTTCAATTATCTTAATGGTAGTTGATGATATATATCAAATATTTTTCTAATATTTTATTTAGTCGATTTGATTATCCATCAATTTGAGAATGAAAAACCAAAGATAATTTTATTTCACCTTCAATATTGTAAAAAGACTTCTTAAAAATCTCAATACAAATTAGATCTTCTTATTTAATATAATATCTTTTAGTAAT